TTACTAACCCGCTCACTCCAGCCCACGTGCACTCAACTACGTATTATATTATTATATTATGTTTCACACGTGTCTGACGCCAGACTGTGTACCAAACAAATCATGGTATAATATTTATAAAAAGAAGGACGTTCCATGATTGGCTTGTGGGCTGAATACTATCAGGTTGCCCAGACCGAGGCAAGTGAACTGTCTTGAGGAATCCGCAATCGGGGCTCTCGGCTAGTCAAAGGCTGACCCGCAAGGCAGCGGGACGGTGTGTGAAAACGGCTATCCGTTGGGGAAGGGGCGGTGTCCAGTTAATCGGATCATACGCCCTTAGGACGGGATCAAACATTCAGCGGACCTAACTCAACTCGACGCCTAATTGAGCCGGTGGCCATTGCCACAAACGAAAAGCTGTGGGTGTGTTTCGTACGCCACTTCGTGCTTGGTTTGGAATCAGGGATTTAGCCAACTCCCCTAGTTGAACTACCGTTTATAGCCCCGAATTTTGGCTTTTCGTTCTCTCACTTTGACGGGAAAACAACCCCATCATGGGAGGCACTGAGTAAGGCAAGCTATTTAAGACGCTTGGTCGTATAAGAGCATTTAGCGAGGCTCAAGAGAAGGGTGAACAGTCACAACCCTAGACACCCACCCTCGATCATACTGAGGCTTTCGCAAACCAATAGAATAAAGGGTGGAAGCAAAGCCGTGGCTCAAGTCTCCTCATTAAGCCTAGCACTACGAGCCACGGCAGTATGACCCGTTATCTCGGACCGAAAGCTCGAGGGCCAACTTCATACCATCAGATTATCATCCGAATAGACACTCAGAGGCTTGGAAATGCGTGCGGCTGTCTCCATTGATGCACTCGAAATGTGCGGAACGAATGTGTTTGATACCGTTTCGCTTGCAGAATTCCTTAATAAATTGTCCAGACGTGAATTGAGTGCCGTCATCTTTAACATCATCATCATCGCACAGCGTAATACAGGGAAGCGAACTTCACTGGTCGCTGCCAAACTCGCAATGCATATGCACTGGGGTTTGATAGACGGGTACTGCTAGGGTGTCCAGCCACTAAGCAGGAGAACGATTAGAGTTCTCAACCAAAGCCTTTAGTTCCGACAAGAACCTGACCGCAAGGTAGCGGGTGAAGCGAAGTGGAGGCCCGTTAACTTGGATCAATTACTCCTCAAACACGTTTTACCGACTGAAACGTCAATTCTGGTCGAACTCCCAACCTGGGAGACCAGGAAACTGGATTTCGTCTGACCTCTACCTTCGACCTTCCAGGCATGATTAGATCTTCGGCTCGGTAAAAGCCATCCTGTGTAGCTCATTGGGTCATAGAGGTGTACAAGCCATCACACCACATCAAGGTGCAGGCTCTTTAACAGCGAGTGTTTCAGGAAAACCGAACGGACGGAAAAGCTGACAGTTTTTCGATTGTCGCGTTTGACATGAGGAAAATCTAGGGCCATTTGCCGAATTCATCAATAGCGATAGGATCAGATCGACCGTTGATCGTACCCATAAACCCAATGTGGATACGCCATCTGGGTATAGCAGGGATTAGTCCAGTGCAAAGCTTAAATTTTTGGCAACTTGGACGTTTAGGCGCATTGGTTCAGTTCAGTTCAGTTTTAACAACCATTAACCATGCACTTTCGTGCGCCGTTTTTCATTGTTTTCTTTTGGCCGCTCATTTGGATTAGAGAGCAGAATGAAGATTGGAATGTTGAGAGCAAATTCAAGCGAAAGATGGAGAAATCATACAGAGTGGTGTTAGGAGATTAATGAGTAAATGCATGAGCGCCAGTGCTTGCGATACCCAGCCAAATCACTCAATGTATCTAACCATCAACGACCATCATCTTGGGGTCCCCAGCCAGGGAGCCTAACGGGATATATGCGAGCCAGTCTTCTGGTCAGGGTTTTCATACTCTCGGTCTGAGTTTGACCGCCCTTGATCTTTCTCCAACCGCTACCTGCCTCGGCAAACATTACTCACCGTGGCAACCTATCTGGTGATATGCGTAACGAATGTCCCAACCAGCGTAATCTATGGAGGTTGACTACCTGTTCCAGTAGACGACCGCGATTTTTTTCATTACACCCAGGTGTGATGAACAGCAGACGGGGCGGACCCCATAGTCACGAGGACTTGCTCTTCAATGATTGAAATCGGCAACCCAACCCCCGGGATTTGGAGTGGCGAACCACATAAGGCCCCGAAAGGTTAGGCGTGGTATTGAACTGGACGACAGCAGAGCTGCCTACCAACAAAGTCGGGTGGCGGGGCTCGAACCTCGGACCATAGGGTCCAAAGCACAGCGACAAAACCACTGCGTCACGAGCACCCACCGCCTAAAACTCGGCATTTTTCGTCCGGTTTCCCCACCAAACTCGTGTAACGCTAGGTAGACAGCGGTGTTCAAACAATGACTATCTATTTTTATCCTTTTCCACGTAATGGCCACGTCTCTGCACCGTAAAGAAGCAGTGTTCTGTTCTGTTCTTACAACCATTAACCATGCACTTTCGTGCGCTGCAGACAGACAGCCGGATGTCGCGACGGCGCCACAGATGTCTCAAGTTGGCAAATGCCAACAGAGCCTTCTATTTGCGAGAAGACACTTCATCCGTGATGCATCCAT